CCAATGGCTAATTTTTTAGATCTAGAAATTAGTTTTTAATGAAGTTAGTATCAAAACGAAGCTTATTGTATTCCTAATTGATCGGAGAGAAAATTACGTACCGACACCTTTTGTGCCCATTTATTACCAGATGGGATCCTTTAACACAAAAAGTACGAGGAACACCCTACATCCCACGGCCCTTTTTTTTCCGTAATTTCCCCTGCTGCCCGGTAATAACAATATCGGACAACGCATGGTTTAAACTTTAAAGTCAATTTTTTTCAGCTGTCAGGCAATGCCATTGCCGGACATCATGGCTGTAACACGCTATCCATGCATGGTAGCTGGCTCCTGATGCAATGCAAGTGATCAATGTGGAAGGAGGCAAAAGCAAGCATGTATGCAATGATAAGAGATCAAAGATGGCGCCGCCTTCACTCTCACTATAAAATACCCAACGCAGCAAGCCCTTCGTCACCGTCTTCGTTTCACAGAACTTTTTAGAGGGAGAGATTCAGAGAAAGAGCAATGGCAGCCATGCAAATTGGGTGGGCGGCAGCACTAGCCTTGGTGGTGTGTGTGGCAGCCTCGGCAGAGGCATCGATTTACCGGACGATTGCGACCACCACCATCACTGAGGAGGGGGCTGTCGTGGACAATAAGGGAGGGAGTTCTAGGGAGAGATAGAGGGAGCATTGCAGGCAGGAAAGGCGGAGCCTGAACGCATGCAGGCGCTTCACCCAGAGTAGGAGGCCTCGGTACACTCTCCTATCTTACAAGAGGGATATTCCACAAAGGTGTTGTGAGCAATTGCAGAATATAGAGGGGTACAGGTGCGAGGAGATAAGGTAGATGGCCAAGAGTAGCATGTACCAAGGGGAGGGAGAGAGGGGTGAGTAGCAAGAGATGATTGAACGCGCCGAGCAACTCCCATTGTCGGCCAGCAGATAAATTGACTTTAAAGTTTAAACCATGTATTGTTTAGTATTGTTATTATTGGACATCGTTGACAAATATAGAAAAAAAAAACAAGGTATATGTGATGTGAGGTGCTCCTCGTAATTTTTGTTAAAGAAGATCCTATCTGATATTTTTTCTTGATTTGATGATCAGAAGGTGATAAGATGAGGGAAAGTAAACTTAGGTGGCCATGTGTAGTGTAGATTTAAAACATCACCTGTTAGGAGGTGCAATTTGGTTCAAGTGGAAGGTTCCAAATGTGCAAGGCGAAAAGCCCAAAAGGACATGGATAGAAGTTGTTAGAACAAATATGGTGACTTTTGGTCTTATTGCGGGTATGATCCTTAATAGAAAAAAATGAAGCAACAAGATTCATGTTGCCAACCCCAGCTACTTGGGGTAAGGTTTGGATGATGACGATGATGATTGATTTGACGATAAAAAATAGAGAAAAGCTATGATTTTAGAAGATTTTTAAGAGTGCAACCCAGGGATCCTATGGTAAATTTTGTTATGCTGGTTGTATCCTAGGAGTATGCTCGTTGGGTCCCGATTGCATCTTGGATTACACACCAAATCAGAGGTGTTTAATACGTTGAAGAAAGCAAGACCATCTTGTGCCTTGTATATTTTATTTGGCCTGTTTCTTCCTTATATATTTTATTTGGTTTGTTTAATTTGCATATCTCTCTTCTTTCTATCTTGAAATCTAGATCAAGCCCCTCAAGATTTAACCGGATTAAAGGGTATTCTAAATATCATGTGAAAACTGACTTCAGTTAAGGGGAGGCTTTGCCGAAGTTTTGTTATGAGGGAATAAAAAACTAACAAATCCAAATCCAAAACCACCAAAAAAAACCTTTGAACTCCTCCACTGCAATTGAAATGTACCATTCTCCATCCATCCAAACTACATCAACTCCTAGTACTCCACCCATGCCCTCAAAATCTCAACTCACATACCCACCCTCTTCACCAACAGCTAAACAAACTTAAGACCCATATTCCTTGTCTAAACTAATTCAAATCCTCATAGCGTCCCCAGAGTCTTCCTTAACCCTCTCTTCCCTGTCCTTATTTGACCATCCGCCGATCTTCCCTTGCAACTGTTTCAATTCAAACCTGGGATGTTTAGCCCTCCTACCCCTCAAACCAAATTAGTTCAGCCCTCCTACCCCTCAAACCAAATTAGTTTCCTTCCTTAGAAACACTTTTTGACAGGTTTTAGTAGACAGGCCCCATAATCTGAATTAGTAGATAGTGATTCAACTTTTACGGATGTCGAATCTTACCTTTTCAGTTGACTCTGACAAAATTGAAAGAATATCTAGGGCAGAGGGCAACATTCAAGGTATTGGGTTCTCATTTGGTGGCCCCACTATGAGATCAATAATGCTATCCAAGAGAATGCCATCAAAGATCATTCCATGCACGACAAGAAAGGCGAAAAAGAAGGAAAAGCAATATCAACTCAGAAAATTGTCTTGCAATATTTCCTACGAGAAGACAACTACATTTGGAATTTCAAAATTCCCTTCATCTTTGATGACCCAAAACTTCAACTGTTATAGCCCTAAGCGCAACTTTCCAAACCCCCAGTTAATGTGGATAGTCACATGGAATATCAGGGGCATGGGTGACCCTAAAAAAAAGAACTCCTTCCAAATTTTTCCCTAACACTCTAACTAAAAACTTTGGCAATCTTAGAAACTAAAGAGGAATGTCAGGAACTAGCAAAATGTTCGAGAAATTTGAGGAAGAAGACCAGCAGCTCGGTCTGTTAATCCTGCAGAAGGTATCCAAACCCCAAACTGGTGTATTATGTGTTTGGAAGGGGAGGAAACACATGAACACCTCTTCTTGCCCTGTAATACAGACATGAAGCTCTGGGCAGGTATTATGGTACTGTTTGATATCCCTTGGGCTGCCCATGGTTTTTCATTGACCTACTCTAATACAGGCTCTCTCCTTCCCTACCGAAAGTGGTAAAATCTTATGCCAAATTACTGTCCTTGCCATCATATGGACAATTTGGTTGAAAAGAAATACTTACACCTTCAAAGACAACTTCTAGACTATCAGCTCTAATCGACAAAATAAAAAATTTCACCATATTATGGGCACTCAAAGGAGTTCAAGGTATGACGGCCATAGAGTTTACCACTAATTGGAAATGCATTATCCAATATTTACCTTAGTAAACTCCAAAATCCTCACTTTGGATTGCTCTACTTGAAGGCTCTATGAAAGTCAATTTGATTGGCATTCTCTCAGCCCAAGGGAGAATTTTGGCCCTGGAAGGTTTGGAGGACTCTACTGAAAGTTGCAGGGGGCAATTCTGCTGACAGACTCGGGGCCCTTGGGACCCTGCAATTTTACTGAGGCTGAATCCCAAGGTTTGCTCACGGGCCTTGAAAACTTTGATAGATATTGCGGGACTAGTCCGCTCATTAAGGAGATTCGCAGAAACTTTATATCATGGGCATCCCCTACAGACTAGAGTACTATAGCAATATTTGACCAAAATAAAGTGGCCGATCTCCTCTAACTCTCACCAACTCAACTCCCCCCCCGCCCACACAAAAAAAGGAAAATTACATCAGTACAAGTTTTGTTAGTTATAAAAAAAAAATTGTTTGTCTTAGTACATCTTATTTATTTATTTAGAAGTGTGCTTGTCTTAGTACATCTTGGTGCTTGTTTTCAAACTTCATAGTTGCAAATGCCTGAAGTCGAACTTTAACTGTATAAAAATGTCTGAAGTTGTGCATTTTATAAGATAACGAACTCAACCATGGGACTTGCGAAGAACTCTGAATGTTTAATTTGTTGATCATACCTTATCAAACTTCATGAACAATCCAATGTAGTCCAGACCTTGCATATTGGCCACACCTTTTTTGAAAAATGTTCACAATAACATATTGGCCATGCTACGGCTATTTGTGAAGGTCAGTATGTGCAAATATACAAAAAAAATTGAAAAAATCGGCAGCTTAGAGGTTATTTGCAAGACACGTGCAACTGGAGCTCAAATATGTCTCGAACTTCATTAGGTCATCTCTAGTTACTAACAGAGGCCTCAAAATTCAACAACCCAAGGTCTTACTTTCCATATTCATGGGACATTTAGGGATCCTCTCATTCGTTCTGCATATCTCATATATGAAGTATTATTGAAATCTAGCCCTAAAATACTATAGAAAGTGTGAGAATTGGTGTGGATTTTGACATGTCTTGAATGGTTCTGATATCATGAAAATTTATGGGCATGTGTCCACATAGACAAAATTGAGAAATATTCCCTTGAGCATGGAATAAAAATGTTCTCATTTTCTTATATACGGCCCTCACAAATCCACATTTCAGCATCGATCAGATTATTGCAAATTGAATTATATCCCTTGATGCGTCCATATGATCCTTATTCAAGTTTTTGTGATGTCTTTCCTTGTTCTCAAGCGTGATCGGTAACTAAGTTCATATGCAGGTTTTTACTGTAGCCTGATGACTGCTAATGTTCTTCATACTATCTAGTATACTCTTGTGGATTTTTGTGCATGTGCTTTCTATCTACATTTGATGTTAATCATGATGTGAACTTATATCATTTTCCCCCTTGTGGTTAGGGGTGAAGGGCTACAGCTCAACATCTAAAGGTCGAATTGTAGATAACCTATCCAAAAAGATCAACTTTTTATATTTCTCCTTAAAACCCCCAATGTACCATCAAAATATAACGATGATAAATTTTCTATTATATAATGTGCAGTATCTATTTATTGTCAAAAAATTAATACCTACAGCATCTAGTTTTCATAAGACTTCACTGTAGCTTGTTTATCTTTATTTTTGCATTGACATTAGATGCCTAAGCTAGCAGCATTGAAACAAAAAGTTCATGTTGTCAACTTTCATGATGGTTGTGCCATGCATCGCTCGTTTCTAAAACGGCATCCTAATTAGTTTAGCCATAATGGATAATGGGTGAATATTAGATGATGTTATCTGAAAGATTGTTGGCTGATGCTAACATGGTGTTATTGGTGTAATTACAGCGTCATACCCTTTCGAACCTCCAAAGATGCAATTTCTGACCAAAGTTTGGTATGGACCCACCAAATTACAACATGAGCTCTCTCTCTCTCTCT